ACCGCTCTTTTCTCCACCTCTGCTACCCCTGCATGGTTGTAGGATCCAGAAAATTATACGTTTCTATACCATCAATTACGGGTGGAAGTATATGAAGCAAGAAGACTTAACATAAATATTTTTTTTAACAAATTTAAGCGTAATGCGGTCAAAAAAATCATCAAATTTATGTGTAACTTTATTTCATATTAAAGTTATGAATAGATTTGACCTATTTTTAAAGGACAAAACAATTTAGATAAACTTTTACAAATATTTTTTAAGGAAAAATTGCACTCACCCCTTTTAAGTTTGTTTAAATGACATATATCTTTTTTTTCTATTTTTTTTAAATTAATTATGTTTCTTAAAATAATATTATTAGTTAAAGTGAGAAAATGAGAAAAAATAAAAATCAATTCATATTTTGCTAATTATATACACATATGTCATTTATTTATGAATTATGTACAATATAATGTCTTTTTTTATATATTATTTTTCAACTTTAAAAGTAATAATATCTCAGTTTATTTTTTAAATTTTTTTCTTGAAGTTGATATATTTTTTAAATCATAAAACACATGGTATTTAAAATATAATTTGAGAATTAAAGTTAAATAAGTAATCAAGTCTCATTCAATTATTAACAATACATAAATAGTGTTATTTTACATAAGAGATAATAATCTATGTTATTTAGATAAATAAATAAAGAAAATTTAGTGTTCAATTAAAAATTAGAGAAAATGTGTGTATCATTTTAAAGAAAAAGGAAAATTAAGATAATTTTCTCTAATTTTTTATGTTGTTTTTGGATGAGAATGGAAGTCTCAACTTAAAAACTTATGTATTGACATGTAAATATTATACTGATTATTGATATAAGATTTCAATTTCAATCAGAGAACAACAATGAAAATACTTAAGAAATTGTCTCTAAATTTGTCCATTTTTAAATAGATTAATAAACTAATTAAGGTGTAAAAAAAGCTAATCAATTGCAAAAAAAAAAAATATTATACAAAACAAATAATAAATTATAAAATTTAAAATCATGCATTATAATTCACTGTATGAGACAAGAGTGCAAATAACTATGGTAAATTTTATAAGAGTAGAGTATATTTTACTTATATGATATAAGCATTTTTAAAGTATACTTTGATTGTTATGATAAGTTAGTTTGAGTAAATTTCAGGGAGAGACAAGTTGGTGATAAAGAAGTGTGTAAAAGAAAATAAATGTTTTGGTTGTTTGGAAGAAGAGAACAACGAGAGAAGATAGAAGATTGGGCACCATGGTTAAAAAAATCATCTCATGAATGAGGAAATTTTAAAGAAAAATACAAAACTTGGGGGCCATTATGAAGTGGCATATTTACCCTTTTAGTTTTAATTTTGTAAATATATTATTAGAGATAAACATGTCTTTTAAATTCATACACACTTTTTTTTCTTTTCTATTTATTTCATATTTCTTTTACATCAAACAACTTAAAAATTTACTATTATTATTATTTTTTCTTCTCTTCTATTTTCTACTACACTTCTTTCTTCTCCAAATCTTTTATCACCTAAGCAAAACATAAAATCTTGTTTTGAATTAACTTTAAAATAAGACAAATTTATTTATAAGTTTAACTCTTTATATAAGTTTTTTTAACATCAGATAAGTAATGCTTAATATTTAAAAGGAAAAAAAATTATTTTAGTACATTATAAAAAGTTTAATACGATAATAACATCAACAAATTATTATTTATATACTTAAATAAGTTAACCTATTAAACTTTTTTTTAAAAAAATATATTAGGCTAAAAAATAAATGTAGTAAAATCTAAGTTTTTAATCAAATTATATAGATTTTCTTTAAAAGCTATGACCTAATTTATTTTTTAAAATTTGTTGGTCAGCTTTATTCTATATAGACTATGTCAGAAATTCTCTTAAACAACCTAGTCTATTCACATCTCTATCACCATACCTCAAACATTTAATGGACTGATCCATAGTAAATAAGGTCAATATATTAAATACATGCTTTTTTTAACTACAATCCTTTGATTAATAATATACTCTCAATATTCTTTTATTTTCTAAAATATCTTTCAATTTTATTTTTCTTTTCTAGTTTCTAAACTGCACAAACCCTTTGAAAGTATAAAAAAATATTTCTAGAAAATATTTTTTGGAATAATAAACTTAATGTCCTAAAAAGTACTTTATAAAAATATATAATTAAAAAAAATACTTTTGGATATGACTTCCTAAAAAGATAAAAAAAAAAATCTGAAAAGTACTTTTAGGAAGTTAAAAAAATAAATTTACTTTTTAATGGAATATATATTATGAACAAAAATCTCTAGAAAAAGTTCACCAAGTTTCCTCTTTCTTACATGGCTACCTGTTGTGTAGGCCTGGGCAAAAACTTCCGGCCGATCTGAAACCGGCCAAACCGACGATCAGATCGGGTGAAGTGGATTAATTCTCAGGTATTTCGGATTTTTTCTGAAGCAAATTTCGGGTTCAAACGGGTTTTAACGGTCGGATTCGGTGTTAGAATTTTCTCATCCGATGCATCCGAATCCGACCGTTCGTCTTCACCGTTTATTTTCTCCGTCTCTTTTACTTCGTCTTCTTTCTTCTTCTTCTTCACTCCGTCTTCTTTCCTCTTCTTCTTCACTCCGTCTTCTTTCTTCTGCTTCTTTCTTCTTCTTCACAGTGTCTTCTTTCTTCTTCTTCTTCACTCTGTAAACATCCTATTTTCTTCAACTTATTCCTGCCATGGCTACCGCCGCTGAGAAGCTCCCTGTTCTGGTTGATGAAGGTGGTGATGTGGAGATCTGAAACTCCGTGATTTCCCCCAAATGAAGCAGTAACAGAGACCGGCAAAGAGTGACGAAGGATGGCGGCACGAGACGCTAGAGGAAGCTTCTCAAACCGATGAATCCATCCAATGAACCCGTAACCCGCACGGATTGAACCCGCTAAAACCCGAGTTCTTCGTCGGTCGGAAATGGCTCCTGATTTTTCTTAATCGGTTTCGGATGATTTTAAGAATTTTGGTCCGAAACCGACGTGGCCGACCGATGCTCAGGCCTACTGTTGTGTATATAGTAAGGAACAATGACGATGAAGTAAAAAATTGGAGTTTAAATGACGCCAAAGTTAAGAGTGACAGAAAAAAAAAAAAGAAGATTAAAAAGGTACAAAGATGACGTGTGTATGTTTGCCTTAATTGTGTGAGAGATATCAGGAACGAAAAAATAAAAAGAAAAAAAAATTAAGGAAGAGTGATGGAGGATAGAACTTTCAAAGTGGATTTCGATACGTGAGTCAATCGATCCACTTTAAAAATGTTTAGGTCAAGCCAAAAAAATTAAGAAATTCATAATTGGTTATAAAACTTAACTCGGTCTACTTTCAATTTGATTCATCTGGGTTCAATTCATGGTGGATTAGACTATCCACTTAATCCATTTATACTTTCATTAATTTAACTTATTAATGACTCATTTAATCATTAGTTGTTATATATGTATTATTTTAAGAGTTAATTACTTATACACTGCCAGTATAAAATTTTTTTACACGAGCAACTAATCATATTTTTAATAGTCTTTTTAATTTTAATTTGATTAAATAAGTAAATGACATGAAACTATTGAAAGAGATGATTGGTTGTCAGTGTAAAAAAACTTTACACTGACAGTGTATAGGTGATTAACTCTTATTTTAATAAAGTGTCATTTTTCTTGTAGGAGAAGATAAAGTTAATAATAAACAACATAAAATTTTTATAAATTTATCTACTAAAGCCTCCAACAATGTTTAATATTGATGGATAATCACTACAATTACAAGAATGTTTATCTTTTTGTTTTGATTATTTAAAGTTGTACAATTTTATAATTAAATTTAATGTTATATGCATAATGCTTAATTTGAAAATTTTTATTTTAGATTGAAGATCATTTTAAATTGGAGTTTTTTTTAAAAAAGAAAATTAGGTGGGTTGATGGGATATCCCATTTAGTCCACAAATACATGATAAGATGAGGGCGAATTGAAAAGGTTTAAACGTTTAAGAAAGTGAGTTGGATCAAGCCAACTCACTTAGGTGAGTCAAGTCAAACAAGTCAAATTAATCCACTTTGACAGTCTTAATTAAAGATGGACGAATTAGAAAAAAAAAGTGTAAAAATAAAATTTATTTAAAATAAAATTAATTAAAAGATATTTTGAGATTTTTTTTTAGAAAATGAGAGAAAGTATATATATGTATATATACATATATATAAATATATTTATTAAAAAAATGAGGTGTATATATCCGCTGCCTACACGTAGATTAATATTGTAGTTTGGACTTTCCTTTGTGAACTGTTAAAGCAATCTGCCAAATTTTGAGTTGAAATATCAATTTGGTCATTCTATTTTGGATTGGGCTTTAGAGTAATGCTTTGGGCTATTGAAAATTGTCAATTTGTGTAACCATCACATGAACCACTTTGGAGACAATCTCCTGTATTTTTCTAATATTTATTTGTATGTAATATTAAAAACATGAAGTGTCTTAACTCTTCTAATAATAAAATAAACTAAATTAATTTAAAAATGTATGATTTATAATAGACTAGTCCATTTAGGTTAAATTAACTCAAATTGGCAACTTTACCCCCGCCCCCAAATTATTTGCACTACATCATTTTTTGAATGAATTTTTTTTAGTCTCTATCTTTTATCCAGAAAAAAGGGGGGGAAATCAATAAAACTTAACTCACAAATTAATAATTTAAATCTGGTAATACAATGAGTATGAATTAGCCTTTGTTTTGTTAAGCAGGTGAAAAGTTAAAAGTTAAAATTAAAGATAAAAATTGCACTTAGAATTCACAAATTAACAGGAAGGTATAAAAAAGTTAAATAGTTTTCTCTCCTTTCATTTATTGTTTTTTTTTTTTTACTTTTTTATGTTTAATCTATTCAATTAAAGAAATCTTGTAGTGACAATTGATAATTTTGTAGTGGCAATATACTGAAAAAACTTAGGAAGGCTACTCGATTGGAGGTTAGAGGATCCATAATAAATGCAGTCCCATAGATTTCATCTTCATCATTTTTTAAAGTGGAAGGAAGGAATCTCTCTTCAGCAATTGCAAAACCATGAATAAATTTGACTTGGCACAACCTCACTATACATCTATTGAGAAAAATCCAAGTCTCACATCGACTAGAAATTAGACAATTGAATAGTATATAAGTGGAAAGCAACCCTCACCTTACAGCCAGTTTTGTAAGGTTGAGTTAGGCTTAATTCACTATTCTAAGATGGTATCAGAGCCATTTAGATCTACTTTAAAAATGGGCCACCCACCATTGATGCATGCCTCATAGGCATGAGGGAGTGTATTGAAAAAAATTCAAGTCCGCCAATCCTAGATTATTAAAAAGGGTCACCCACCATTTATCCACGTACCAAACCCAATAGTGCTGGACGTGAGGGGGTGTATTGGGAAAAACCCAAGTCCCACATCGACTAGAGATTAGACAATTGAATAGTATATAAGTGGAAAGCAACCCTCACCTTACAAGCCGGTTTTGTAAGGTTAAGTTAGGCTTAATCCACTATTCTAACAACATCTAATACTAATAATGTCACCCATCATATTGGGGTGAATGAATTGCACAACTTGTATTTAACATGGAACTTCTAAACATTAGGGGTGGGTGTCGGGTGGTTCGAGCCCAAAATCTCAAATTCGAAGAAAATTGACCCTTTAAAATTGATCCATTAATTATGTCATTGGTTTGAGCGGGTTTGGGGTTAATCGAGTAACACGTGGTTTAGATAGGTTTTATATGGGTTAGTAGATTTATTTAGGGCCTCCACAATTTTTTGATGATTTTTTTTTCATTATTTAGATTTTTAAAAGCCAATATTAGGCTATGAATCTAAAACTGGACTATTTAAATATTTAACTATATAATGCTCAAAAGCAAGAAAACAAATAATTACAATGACTTATTACAAAATCAACTACATATTAAAAAAAAAATATATTGCTCCCATGAATCGAAAGTAATCAATAACATACTACACAACAATAACATCACAAAGTCAATATTATATAAACCCTAAAACAAAAATAAAGATTACAGAATTTCAAATTTTCAAATGCGTTTTTCCCCTATCATTATCAAACTAACATCCACATATTTTCATATACATGTTGAACTGACAACAGCATTCACGAAGAAATAAAGATGTACTATGTAAGTGTTTTTCTTTCAAAGAGAATGCAAACCCTAAAATAAAATTACAACTCCAAACTTTAAAGTGGGTAACCTTCTTACGTCCAGTCAAGTTAGAAATCATGTTCACAGAGAAATGGATGAAGCTACAGATGAAGATAAAGAAAAGAAACTAATATTGATAAGTAAAATAAAAAAGAAATAGGTCACATAGTAACATTGAGACTAAATTATACTTTTGCACCTTTATTTTAATTTTTAACATTTATTTGTCTTTTATATTTTATGTTTGAATCAATTTAATTCTTTTAAAATAATAATTATTTTTAATTTTAAAACATAATTTTGAATTAATTTTTATTGATTCAAATCTTGAAACTCGTAATACTATAAGATTAAAAAACTAAAAAAAAAATATTTTTGTCTGACTTTAATATAGTATGTGGCCTTTGTGTCTAGGATTTGGGAGAAATCAAAGAAGAAAAAGGAACAAATACAAGGTAAGTGGTAATTAATGACATCGCTAGGATTTCATAAGAGCTTTCGTGAGAGTCTAGAGAGTGTCATCTTGTTCTCTCCCATGAGTGAAAGAAGCTAGCACAAGTCCCTACCAAAATTTTTAACCTGCATTATCCGATAACCCGTCGGTTTATTCGTGTTCGAGTTAGGTTGTGGATTTCTTCCCTACGCAACTGGACGTAAATCACAAGCTACTGTTTGCGGTCCTACAGCATGGACGTACGAGAAGCAAAAGAATATACCAATGCTGCTTGCTCGCTTCATCTCAAGTAATTAGTAGTGGCATATATAGTGGGACAAGAAGCATGCAAAATCTAAATAAATTTAGTTCCACTAGAGTGGGAACTTACATACTGTGTGCCCCAACAACCGTTTTCTGCTTTCATCTATATTTTTCAATCTAGAACTAATGCCTTAATTATATATCATGATCAAAGCCCTTGTTTATTTCACATTCTTTAAGTCCATTTTCATTGAATAACTCAGTAAGGGCACCGACTAAACCTTCTCCTATGCAATGGGTTTTAAATAAAGGTTGCACCGATTTTCAAACTCGAGGATCATATATGGAATAAGATATAGTTGAAAAGAAGAATCTCTTTGTGCGAATTGAACATATACATGTGCTGTTGATCTTCCTTTTTTACTACACGGCATCCACACCTCTCATACCCTTCATCGATGCTTCCTTTAACAAAAACATGTTTTTCACAAAAACAAAACCATTTTATGAAATTTCTCTCTCCCAGATTCATATCACATTGGATGCATAAAGTGGGGGAAAGATGGCATTTACTATTTAACAATAGACTACTATAGTGGTCCCAATGATATACAATTTATTCATTTTTCATTTATATTTTAAATAATAAAGATTGCGCAATAAAGAATATATTACACAATAAATCGTACTCATATTTTTCCTACGATCTAAAACTTGTTAGCGAAGTATCTAACACACCAAACTATTTAAATATCCCCTTCTTGATTTATATGCTATTCAAAGACCCTTTTGAAACGTAAACTTTTATTCTTCTTTTTAATCTCTTTCTTTTTCAGTGAGATCACGTGTAAGGCTGGGGGGAGATTCCATTTGGTAATTAGAGTTAAAGTGAAAATCCTCTACTGAAATTTAAATATCCTTACACAAGCTGCTAAGATTAATACAATTCGCATTCTTATATCTAGCAGTAAATTGAGATTAGCCTCTGTAACAGTTTGACGTTAAGAATGTTTTTTAATGGAAACTTAGAGATAGATGTATATATGGACTTGTCACCTGGGATTAAGTGTAATACTTCATGTAGAAAGCAAGAATGCAAGTTGAAAAGTTATTGTACAGACTAAAATAATCCCTTAGAGCTTAGTTTGGGAGATTCTTAATAGCAATGTAGACTTCTGGATATAAGCAAAGTATAATTCAAATCATACTTTATTTATAAAACACAAAGAAGGGAATACTAGTAGAAAATTAGTATATCACGTCACCTATTTTACGTCGGACATACAAACACCCGATGTAATAAAAACGCGGTAGCATGTTTCGTAATTTTAGTTAAATTATTTACGTCGGACTTCCTAGGGTAGGGTCCGACGTAAATTTTAACATCTACGTCGACTATGCATTGTGTCCGACGTAGATGTTAAAATTTATGTCGGACACTACTAGGACCGACGTAAATAACCCATAGGACCCCGTTAAAAGAAGGTTTACATAGCTAGAGATTTCAAAAACTTCCTTCTCCCGCGCGTTGTGCAATGGAGGCCACACCTCAAATCCCTCCGCCTCCTCCTCAAATCGTGGCTGCCCTCGTAGTCGGAGCCACTCCCCTGACGACCTCGTCCACCTTCCTCCACACCATGCGCCGTGAGTGGTCCAACATCAACGCCCTCCGCCTCGACAAGTTCTACCTCCTTCGGAGCTTAGGAAGGTTGGGGAAGAGGTTCATTCGCGTGATGATGTTCTTCTTCTTCGGATGGTTGCGTTGGTCATGGGTTTTTCTGGGAGGTTCTATGAGGTGGCATATTTTGCTTAGTGTGTTCACGGGAATAGGAAGGTGATGTTTGCGTTGCATTCCGAGTTTTTGAAGCTGGAGAAGGAAGTGGCCAAGTTCGGGTTTGGAGAACCCACTCCTGGTTTTATCAAGCAGAACGGATCGTTCTACTTGAAGAACGACCCGTTCTCCACGCAGAACGGGCCGTTCTCCATGCAAAATAGACCGTTTTGCTTGGACAACGAACCGTTCTCCAACCAGAACGGCCCGTTCTGCTTGCAGTCGTTTTTCTTTTTTCTTTTTTATAAATTTTTTACAACTTTTTACGTCGGACCTTGGCATATCCGATGTAAATTTACGTCGATTTTCGAGACCGACGTAAATTTACGTCTCCCGCTTCGACGTCGGAGGTTTTTCTGACGTAAAACTCCTAAAATAACCGACATAGAATGTATATTCTGTACTAGTGAAAGGTAATAATTTTAGTTGTATATGTTGATGATATGATTGTGATTGAGGATGATCCTTCTAAGAGGAGAGCATTACAAGAGTATTTGGCAACTAAAATTGAGATGAATTAATCACTTTAAGGTTTCCAGATTCAGAAAGAATAACATTACGTCCTGCATGGTTAGGAATGAAATAAATAAGCACAAACAGCCAACAATCACTAGACCAGAATCAGCCAAACGCCTGTATAATATTGAGATTCAAAAGCAAGCAATTTCTAGCTCAAAAATAAATAAAAGCAATTGTGACACTCGTTAGTGTTTCTTTAGATTAGCTTACTTTGTTGACAAAACAGCTTATAATAAAAAAAAAATCCAAACAAAGCAAAACATGCACGTAATGCATGTTTGGATTCATGTTGGATCATCCAAAATCACAATAAAACACCAGCTAACATGATTTTAGGTAAATCTCCGTGTGTTTTGGATGAGTGCTTGCAAAATTGATTTTGAAGTAACCTAATTTATGTTCGGATATTTTTATTCTAAAAGCAAGTTAGCACCCGGTATACAATTTTTAATCCAACACAAAAGTTACCTAAAGTTGCTTCAACTCAATTGATTTTGCATGCATATTAATCTCTTATGGTGAAACCAAACTTGTTAACACTTCCCTAAAAATCACGTTAGCTGGTATTTCAACATAATTTCGGTAATCCAGCATGAATCCAAACACACACTTCACATGTTTGGTACCACGTTGAGGAATTGATTTTGGGGCTAAAGACAATTCGGAGAAACTTTTGCATTGGATAAAAAGTTTTGTTCTTTTCAAAATTAAAAAAAAAATATAAAAAAAAAACATCTAAACATACACTCAACATTTTGCAGTCACTCACACAAATACACACTAAATCAGTGGCAAATGGAGATTGTTCAGGCAGAAATGGAGATGAATAGTATATGATAGAAATTCAGCAATGCAACAAACTGAACACAATACATTGGGTCCATTGTGATATACGAGACAGTAAATTAAAAGGGGAATAACCAAATATACCTTTGGGTCCAACGGTAAGAGAGACAGCATCGGCGAGTTTATCAATTCCGGCTTGTAAGGTCTCTCTGCACTCTTTGCCGAACAATATCTTCTTGGGGCCTGCACTCACCACAAAGCGCGGGATTTTACGAACCCCAAATGGCGTTTGGTTCCAACGAAAAGGCTGCAACGGCGTAGAGTGAGAAAAGGCGTAGACATGGAGGAGAGTGAGGAAGCATAACATGGCAATTAGCAAACGAAAGATGCTTACTGAGAATGAAAATGAAGGGTTTCGATTCAGAGGGATGAAGAGTGACACTTGAAGCGGTATTTGAGTATTCATGTCGGAGACAGTGTTTGAAAGTGGAAGCTGGCTTCTTCAAGGAGTTTCTGTCTGGTTTAGAAGATTGTGTTGTGGCTTATGAGAGTTTCCAAAATATATACGCTACTAGGGTCTTGGAAGGTTTTACAATTTTCTTTTTGTTTAAATTATAATAATTTTTTAAAATAAGTTTTTAGTCCCTCTTTTTAATAATTTAGTTTTTAATTTTCTTAAGCAAAATTTCTCCAACTTTTTATTAATTTTTTATTCTATAAATCAGTCTTTAGATCATATCTGTTTTATTAAGTGATTACATTTGTTAATAAGTCATAATTGACGTAATTATTGATATTGACGTAATTATTTAATATAATATGTATAATTTTTTTATTTATTACAGTCAAACATTATTTTATAAAAATAAAAATATTATTAAAATAATTATTCACTCTTATGATTATGAAGTATCATACGATTTAATATTTATTAAATAATTATGTTAATATTAATAATCAAATTAGTCATAATTTATTAATACAAATCATCCCTTAATGAATAAGACTTAATCTTAATCTTTGTAAACATAGAGCAGAAGGTTAGTGTAGGAAAATTAAAAATTTGGTAAAGAGAAATTGTTAAGAAAATAGGGTGGGACTCACCAAAAAAAAAATTAGAGAGAAAGTGTGAGAAAATTTACTTTTTATAAAAAATAGGGGGAGGGGGGGAGAGGTTGTATAATATATATATATATATATATATATATTAATTTTTATTTTTCTTAAAGG